GATGACAAACAAAGAAAAGGCCCTTTTGTACGGGAGTAGAATTGAAGGGTTAGAGGCGTGTATTGGCAATATTTAATGGTAATATTCTATGGATTTGCAGAAGAGAGGCATGTGTGTTCAACTTTGGATCTACTTTCAATTATTTGTTCCCACTAGAGATTTTAAGGATTGTTTGGCACCGTCCTCCCGCCACCGTACCGTGTTTTTCTCGCTAATGGGAGATTTGAAACGATTACAACTCGTTGTCTTGGCCTGCCCTCTAACCCTTTCCGTAAAAGACTATGGTACGTAGATGTGACACATTCTCTTCGCATATCCAATAGTGAAGTCTTCCGCCCCATCTTACCTTGATAGTGGCACGGTAATGCAATCAACCTTTTATTCTGAAGAGCACAATTATAAGTGTACAATATTTGCGAAAAAGGAACGAGTTGGGGGAGGGTTCAAGGTTTCTAACATGACCCTAGCCGGTGTCCTAAACAAAATCCCACCTGCGGTGGACCGTGGTGGTAACAATGCTTTCGATATTTTGAATACAGAAAATGGTGGTGATAAAATCTTCTAAATACTGGTATTGAGATACAATGGTTATAAATAGCAGAGATCTGAACTGTTACTGCGTCTGTATCATCATCCTATTGCAAAAAATGGGCAATTGATGCTTGTATTTCTTCTAACGTTCGCCTTCTAGTCTCTGGAACTAGCTTTGCGATGAATACAACACCCAGACAGCACATGGCCGAGTATATGAGAAATGTACCTGAAAACACAACAAATCAGTTGTGATGTTTTGAGATTAATACTGTCTATTACACCTATTAAACTTTTGAGTAGAGAGTGACCTCCTTCGCTCCATTCAGCCATAAAATTGAAGGTGAATGACACAAGCCAAGATGTTGACCAGTTGACTAAAGTAGATAGGCTTCCAGCCGAACCCTTGATATTGATCGGATATATCTGAAATGGAAGTTGAATAGTTATTCATCAAGTTCATAGTGATTCTCTACGACTTTGGAATGGCAAAGTTGCAAACCTCTGACATCACAACCCATGCTAAGCCTGCCAGGCCTAAGCCATAAGCTACACTGAAACCCTGAGATATTGCAGCATGAATCAGTAACTTTGAATCATAACAGAAAAACATATGAGGATTAAATAAAGAGAAAAAGGCCCAGTTCTTTTTCCAAGGGCGTTGGCTGGGAGGTGGAAGGAGATCATCAGCTACTAAGTCCTTGTTCCTTTTAAGGTTCAAGTGACAAGTGGAAAATCAATTTTACATTGCTAAGCCAGTGACAGTTGCTGCTGCCAAAATCATTTAAAGGATTTTTATTTAAGAAAATGAAATGTAAAATACCTTTATACCAACACAAACCAAGCTCAAATATAGGCTTAGTTTAGGAGTGTTGTACTGTAGTTGCAGTTATAAGTTTTTTGGTCTTTTAATATCTCAAAAATATATAAAATATATTTAATATATTTAGTATTTATTTTAACTAATATTTTATACATTTTTAAATAGGAGAAAAAATATAAAAACCAAAAACTAATGCACCAAAAATGTTCTCAAACGAAGCCATAATGCATGACAAGAGGTAAATTGTCATTCAGTTGCAGTGGATAACCTGTATACCAATGTAGACCAAAATGGAAGTAGACGAGTTTTGCAAGAGAAATGCTAATCCAACAAGGAAGGCACTCAAGCACATTCCAGCTGCAGAAACCTGGGAAAATATACAGAAATTTGAATATTGATTTGTATCTCATAAATAAACATCATCACAAACCATTAATTTCACAGTCTAACCAAAAGCAGTGGACGTCTTCCCCATTTATCTGCTAAGAGTACTGACACAGCAGTAGATGGAATCTGCAAAAGAGAATTTGCAAACCTCAGAAATGCATGAAGCAGAACACTTGCAATTACTCAAATTTCTATCACTCAAATACAAATACCAGAATGATAGCCATTGAAATAGTTCCAATATCACTTGAAAAACCTGTCATAAACCAGAGATTCACATCATTGTTTGTTTATATCTTCGAATGTTCACAACTAAATTTGTATTGAAAGTGTTGCTTCAGGTAATATAGTTCCAATATTACTAGAAGCAACACTTAAAGGCATTAGCATACCAGCTTCTTCAAATATGGAGCTAGCATAGTAAGCAATGGCGT